GTAATTTCCAAAAAAAAAAACTGTTTTGAACGGGGCTCGGTAAACTTATCAGGTTAGCCGTGTATTTCCGCTGGTGCCTAAGGTAACACGAAAAGCGGCTAAAAGATTAACCCGGGTGGTTTATGTTAGGGTTCTTTAAATTTTTCGGAAAAGCTTTCGGTATCGTAGACCGATAATTGTTCAAATACAGTATTACAGCAGATGAATAAGAAGCATATTTAGTGATATGGCGTGCAGAATGTGGACCATTTTTAATAGCCGAAAACGTGTTTTTAAAACACATTGAAAACGCATCTCGGTAAAACCAATGTGACTTTTCTCCTCCGTGTAATCGAAATCTAAAAAAAAAAAAAAACTTACAGAAAGGCCTAGAATAAACAAGTAATTATAGATTTGGAAATAAATAATACCCGTAACGAATAGTTAGTAATCTGTCTTAAAGTTGTAAATTATTCAAACGCGTGTACCGATTTAATGAAATAATAAATTTGACAATTTTACCTATAGGTACCTATAGTCGCCGAACAAATCGTCACGAAGTTTCTAAAGTTATTTAATTATTATCGTTTGCGGATTTCACCTTATTTGTGAGTATATACGTCCACGCCTCCGGTGAATTATTCAAAATCAGTTTGTGTCGACTCACTCGCTGCAGCTTTTATTAAATTTTGAATACATATATTTTTTTTTTTTTTTTTAATTTATCACACGTGAGAGGTTTATTATTATACTCTTACACCTCGCGTTACACTATCGTGTGATATTTACAAAACTATCAATATGTTTAATTTTATACGGCGATCGGGGTAAAATGTAGATTACGGTTTTGATTTTGAACTTTTTTTGTTTGTTTTGCCCTATCATATTTTTCGATAAAATATTTAACTACTTTTTTTTTTTTTTTTGTAAAATTATACGCACAACTTTTATACTATACAGCACTATAGATTTACTGTGACGTATGGGTTTTTTCTTTTCTTAAACACTTTTTTGGATATTAAAAATGCTCCAATTTTTTTCAAACTATACCTTACGCGGAATTATTGTCCATTATGTTTTATTTGAAAATAATTCTTACATTCCCAACAGTATTTTTCTACAAAATTTAAAAACACACAACAAATGAACGCTGTGTCGATACAGCGTTATTATTATTTTTTGATTTCTTGGTTAGTTTGACGTTTTTTCGTTTGCGACGATTTATTGTTGTATGCTTTATAGGTAAACTCAATTTTCCTGTATATCCTACTTCTCCAGTCGTTCTCATACTATCATGCAATAAAATTTAAAAAAAATTGAATATTTTATTATTGTGTACAATTTGAATATATCGTAGAGGCGATAGGAACGTTATTTCGGTTTTTGGTTTTAAAAAAAAAAAATTCCATAAAGAGATCGTATTGCAATACCTAGAACACAATATTATGCTGTGTGTTTCTTAATAAAAAGTAAAGCTAATTATAGAAATAAGTATTGGTACCTGCTCGTTAACTTTGCGTCTATTTCCTGTATTAATAATGGGAAATCATGTAAAAAAATACCCGTTGGCCATGTTTTTAACGTGTCGACGATAATTTTATTCGGATTATATTCTTATTGCTGTTTGTGAATACTCCGACGATTATTACGAGCTTAAAAACCCATTGGCGGGATAATATTACCATTATTTTGAAACGCGCAGAACAATCGGGGGATCCCATTGCGTTTTATTACCTTGTTATTTTAATCGATATTTTTCCAAGGCCCGATGACGGTCACCGTTCCGCGAGTAATCGGCCCAATCGGGTAATACATCTCGCTTTCGGTGTGTCGTACGATTGTAAAAACTATTTTACTCGGACGAAAATATTATTGCTTGGGGTTAATTTCGAAATCAAATTGTCATCATAAAAAAATATAAATATCAGTAAAGAAAAAACTGAGACAAAAAATGTTTGTCGTTTTAAATTTTGGTTATTTTAAGTTTTTCCAACACGAATACTTAATTTTTACGTAACAACACGCAGTGATGTCGAAAAATAGGCTTGCACGAGACGGGTAACATTTTTTTTTTTATATTACACAACAAATACGACTTAAGTTAACGACATATTTAGTTGATAATTTTCAATTTTTCAAAGATTTTGTGGATATCTGTTTTTACAGTGGAAATATTATATGATGCATCAATACCAACACTATTTCGATTTGTCCTTACACGGATCTTGAGCTACTGTGGTATTAATGATAAATCATACGTACAAGTAACGTTTACAATACGAATGTAGTAGTCGCCATTTTTAGGTACTTAAGTGTTTGTCAGGGAGAAAAAAATATTTTACAATCGGTCGGGATTTCGAGAGAAAATGGAAAAATATTAATAAAAAAAAAAAAACATCCCGAGTCGACGTTTTCGGCCAAGGAGCACAATAGACATTTTCGTGCTTCGGACGTATGTAATCCCGGGATATTCCCACGTTAAAAAAAATGTCGTTGACCCTCGAAAAAGAGAAAAAAATGATATTGTAATGGGCCATAAGTAATGGCATTAGTCGTTGACACAGATAATAATATATGTCCCAGGAAAGTCTACAAAAATGTTATCAAACATTGGAATACAATACCGCAGATGTTCATTTTTTTACATAACTAATATATTAAATTAGTATTATTACACAAGTGTGTATATAATACTGTCTACATAATATGTAGATAGAAATATTATTGCAAGGAGAGTGGTGATTTTATTAAATTCGTCGTCAATCTCGACGATATTGTTACTCGTTATGATCATCCAAACTCATAAGTCATTTCGTTTAAATACCGTACGTAGCCTAAATGGTATATTGTTGTCCGTTAAGAATTAGTTAAACAAATTGTCGAATTCGGCTACATTCGAAGTCTAAGCATAAAATTCAGAAATAAAATGTTGTTTAGTGCACCGTGTAAGAAGTTTTCTTCTCTTTGGCAAAAATAATGATCGAAATTGGACCACTCTACGATGCGTTTTTCCTGTATATCCTGCATTCTGCGTAGAAAGCAGGGTCAGCTTAAGTTTACACTAGTGCAATTATGTTGGTCGATATTTAGAAGTTTTTTGACATTAAAATTGAATATTTTTAATGCGAACCATATTTGCAGTGTGTAATCGTGTAAAATGTGTAGTGCCGACTGATGAATTTGTGGCATGTAAATTTTAATTGGTTGGATGTGAAATTCATTTTTTGATCATTCTAAATTATTTGAAGCATAAGAGACGAAACTACAGGAAAGATCCTTAAGATTGGATAAATATGTGTCCAAAGATATTTCACATTTCTTTTTTACTCTAATAGTAGACGTTTTAAAATATTCTCATTCCTTTTTTTTTGGACGTGCTTTCATTTTAAACTTATTGGAAGTCGAAACTGGAGTGCACCTATACTCGACAGTACACATACTCAGAAAGTAATATGTCAAAGACTGATATCCAATAAATCTGAACAGAGTCTAAGTATAACAATATTGAACATAGTAAAATATTGGTAACGTTTTTATTTTATTTTTAGACGTATTTTCGTATAAAACCCTGGGCATTTATTATTGATTACATTTATTACACTATAAATATTATAACGTTTAAAACAACTTTTGAAATACTTTTAAACAAATTCTAACGATATCTAACAAGTCGAAGTAAGTTTTTTTTTAGAACGGTTTTCCAAAGCCGTGTTAGGTTTTTGTACAGTTTACGTGTAAGTCATGTAGTGCCATGTGAAATATATGACGATAAAACATCCATGACGTACTTATTACGTACGTATTAACTTAATATTATTGTCGGTTGAAATATTTAAAATGATTTGTCATTGTCTGTATCGTGATAACGTATTGACATATTATTCGTGAAAATATCACTTATGTAAAAAAAAAAAAGGGTGGGGGTTTGAGAATTTTATGACTATGGTTTTTCGACACTATAATAATATTATATAGCTTCTGATAAAATGCGTACGGTTTGAATAATTCAACGTTATTTATTATATCGATACGGATACTCGTACGAGAACTCTGATTCGTGATATAAAACCGTAAAAATAAATCAACCAGACTTTTATCGTAAAAATAGGTCGCCTATATTATTATGTATTTTGTTTTGTTTATTTTTTTTTTTTTTAGTTTTGTTTTCTCTTAACTTTTTTGACGTATAGATATTGATATTGGGAAGTCATATTGAGTTGTGATAAAGTTTGAAATATTGCCTTTGAATTTTAATAATATATACTTTTGCTACGGTAAAACGCTATCATTAGATATATTCACGAAAAAACGTAAAGTAAAACGAAGTCTAGTAGCCTAAGTTACAGTTTCCGATTCTTCTGGACGTGGGCTGTATGAGGTTTTTTATTTGCTGTTTTATTACAGCGGCTTCATAGAAATAAATATAATTCAAAAAAAAAAAGTCTTGAGCGTTGTAGAAAAACCACAATACCATAATAAGTGTTTCTCCAAATCTATGTAGCTAGAATCATGGTCCGGTCATATATATTGAGCTGGGACAATTAGGATCTATATTTCGGAAGGATTGACAGACGAACCGGTAAACGTCCTACAGACCCCGGTAATGGTGATTATGAGTCAAGAGAGGGTGAATGAAGAATTCAAAAACAGAACGGCAAGACTGGATAGTGCGATGGACCATACTAAGCGGAGGGACTGTGCGGATGCTGCAACGAAAATAAAAATGGTTACAACATACACGTCGAGTGTTGAACCGACAGTTCATTCATTTAAAATAGTTCCGGATTCCTGTTGTAGTTGTGACGGAATAGTAAAAACAAAGATAAATGATAATAGTAATGCCGAAATATTAACACAAAAACGCAATACATTGCACATTATCGCCTAGTCAAACTTCGATAAAAAAAAAAAAAAGGCTAATCATTTATACCTACAGGATATTGTCGTAAAGACATTTTTTGTTCGCGCACCACTCGTGCGTATTACAATGTAACACTAATGGCTCTTTATGGAGCTATTCGGGTACCTAGTAAACTCGTTTGGTATGTAACACTATTGTAGGGGCACGAAAGAATAATGATTGGAAACGAAATAAACGGTGTCGCCGAAAACAAACGTTTAAAACCGAACAAGACTTGGTTAAATATGAGAAAAAAAAAAAAAAAAACGCTAAATTGCTTGGGCGTCTATATTTGACGGGAATTCTCGTGCGATATCGAATCTAGGCGGGAAATATTACAGAACTTCCAAACCACCCAACATGTATCGATTCGCGGCTTTAGATTTTATACTGTTTTTAGGCGCCGGAAACTATGACGTATGTCCGATTTGTAACGTATTAACTGATAATGACATACGAGAAGTTGATGTTTACGGTTTCGATAGTGTTATAAACGCAATAACGGACGTGCGCTCATTGTTGTCGTCTGACGCGTCGCGCGCGTGCAATTCGATCAGACGCGCGATACTTAGTTCGTCAATTGCATAACTGACACGGTGACGGGATTTCGTTTCGTCGCCTGGTAATATCACGTGATATTACGAGGCGACGAATCTTTTTCTGTTTTCTGAGAACAGCGACGAACCCGTCAGTTTTACAAAGACGTATTTCTATTCCTGGGAGAAACACGTTTTTTTTTTTTTTTTTTTCGTTTGGTTGAAATTATTCGAACATTAAACGACGCAAATTTTCAATTCCGGCGGTAGATACTATTACAGTTTAGTTTATTGTTTGAACAAATTGTTCGACGGCAGTGCCGCTGTCTACCGCCGCATGTGTATTAACCGTTGCGTTACGCACGGCTAAGTAATCGGATAGTATTATTGTCATCGTTTTGTTGTCCGGTGGCACATTTTATCCGGGTTTTCAGCGTTTTTGCTCAGCTTTCAATAAATACTTGACTGTTTAAAAAATTAAAAAAAATAAATACCAATTTACAACACTTCAAATTGAAATTGTACGTGCCAAAACGGGTGTTTCATAAACGTGAAATTTGCCGTTCGAAAAGTGTATAATATATTCGTTTGGTATGCAGTTATACGAAACTAATTACGGCGGTCGATTGCGGATACCGGGAAATGACGACGCGGTTTAATTATGAATATAATTTATCGGTAATCGATTCGTTTTATGTCGCTGATAGGAAAAGAAAATTTCGCGATTGATAACCAATGTCGGAGAAACAAATTGCATTTATTCGTGCAAACAGAAGCGCCGGGTTTTTGAAAATGTCACGTGGGGTTCACTTTGAAAACATGCGCGTTTAATTACATAGTTATTTGTCGCTTTGTGTGTCACGAAAAATTGTGCATATCGTCATGAGGAATCAAAAGATAATCTGTACTACTTTTTATCCGCCGCCGATATCAAAGAAAAAAAAAAAAAAAAGAACGTTCATCTGTCTCGGTTAATTTGCCGTTATAAATAATATTTAGTATGTTGAGTATAGGTTTTTTTTATTTTGTAATACGAAAACAGCGAGGAGGGGTGGCGGGTGTAAGTTCCGTCTTATCAAAACCGCGGCCCCAGAACCCGGCCCCACCCTTTCACCGCGGGCGAACGGCGAAGAAAAAATTCCGTTCCGAAAAACGAGTTGACGGGCGATGGGGGGGGGGGGGTGATTGAGAGATTCGCCACCTTGCCGCCACTGCGGCCGCACACCCCGTGCCGTCAACGCGCCGCCGAACGTTGTCGCGCACCGGAACGGACGCGGCGGTTAACGCCGAGGCCGCGCAACAGCCGCCCGTGGCGTCCGCGGCGCGCTTTCGCGGTGTCGCGGGTAACAATACGATAATCGCGGCGGCGGCGGCGCGAATGTACGCCCGCCGCCGTCCCCGGGGCCGGCTATTTATTCGCGACACGGGCGCGACCGCGGCGTACGTCACGGCGTGCAATTATACCGTAATGATATACGACCCGCCGCGTAACGCTCGCGCGAAACTTCGGGCGGTCGGTGTCCGCGGCGCCGAACCCGAAACGGGAAACAACAATCACGCGACGTTCGCCGTACGTGTGTGCCCGCGCCTATGCCGGCGAGTTTGCAGTTTCGCCCGCGACGTCTCTCTCCAGTCGCGCGGCGCCCGAGCGCATTGTGACCCGGCGTAACGCGCCGGCGACCCGCGGCGTACGGCCGTGCCGAACTCGCCGCCGTGCTGTCCGCACGCTCGCCGTCGCTTACCGGGCTGGCTCGCTTGCTTACTCGCGCACTTACCAGCCGACCAGCCCCGTCGTTCGCCGAGCGCGCGCCGGTCTAACGCCGAACCGCCGCGGCGAGTCTCGCGTGTCGGCGCGTCGGCACCGCGCGGTATTCGTTCCCGGCGAATTGATTCTCTAACACAAAAGCGCGTTAAATCGCACCGGGCGGGGTGTGGGGGCGCGATAGGAGGGGCACTGGGGGGGGCGGGGTTGTGTTGGTGGTGAACGCGCGTACACAATACGGTGCCCCGAATGTCCCGGTGTAACTTATACGCGTCGGGCGTACAGCCGTCGTTGGTGGTGGTGGTGGGGGGGGTGCGTGTGGAACGGGGAACGCGCGCGGGGTTCCAAAGTTTTCGGGGGAATAAATCAAGATCGACGGCAGCGCTCGCGGAGTATATATTATTGCCGTCATAATATACGATATCATATTATACCGACTCGCGTATATCCGCAGGAGGTTTGCGAGTGTGATAACGTGTATACGTATATATATATATTTAATATAGGTACGGTGTGATATTAACGAAGAACGGTTTTTTTTTCTTTTTTTTTTTTTTTGCTTCTCATAAGACGTTTCGCCTCGCTTTACGTAAGCGCGATCCCTTTTATATTGACGTGTCTTTTCTTTTTTTTCCCCACTCCGAACAACAAAACAACAACTGCTATCGGCAGCCATTCGCGTCGGCGGCGTAATTTATTACGACCTTAAATATTTTCAATTTTCACCGAACGCGGTGTCGATATAGTGGTTTGAAAATAAAAATAAAAAAAAACGAAAAAACGCACACGATTGTTCGCAATACGCATAATAAATTATACACGAGTAGGAGGACATAGGTATCATAATCTTGTTTTCCCGTATGCGCAATGTATATTATGCGAAATAATGCTAGAAGCTTTGCGCATAAAAAAAAAAAAAAAAAAAAAAAAAACCATCTAAAATTGCTGACGAACGCTGCCAAAGCGTTGCGACAGTACCGCCGTTGTAGGCGCGAAGTTAGAACGGAAGGATACATAATGCCGTTTTGATTCGAACACGTACGCGGAGGTAGAAATCATCGCGGACCAAATACGATTCTGAACAAAGTTCGGTTCTGATGTGTCGTGACTTTTTCGATTTTCGTCAAAACTTGAACTCACAATACTCGTGTGTATATAGATAAAAAAAATAATAAAGGACTGCATTTCTCTCGATGTTTTAATGTTTTTAGAACTCAAAAATGAACTTCGTATTGGATTTTCAAAACATGACGGTTCAGACGACTACTTCATTGGTATATATGGCGTATTATTTGTACGATTTTCGTAAATATTGTGAACTTTTAACGAGTAAAAAAATCTATTGAATTACGCTCAACTTATTAGTTTTTGATCGCTTATCACAAATTATGATAAACTTTGAGAAAAATAGTTAAAACCGATACCTACTAATTTTTTAATTACAAACGTCCAGAATAATATGAAAAATGTAAGACACCTGGAAAACTCACCAGATTTTCATACCTTTTATCCCGTTTTTTCTCATTTATTAAGAAAACGACAATGGACATTAAAAAAATCTACGGTAAATGTGTCCTATATGATAGTTTTACTGACGGAAGAATGAAATTCATCGGCGTACAAATATATGGACGTTCAACAAGACGGAGCGATGCCACGACGTCCCAGGAACGTGAAAAAAATATCCTAGTTCCGATGTGTTAACTATTTTTTTTCCAAATATCTTTCCCGAAACTACCAATAGAAAACAATACACTTCATAACGAACTAATACGAATTACGAATTTCACAAAGAACCAAAACCGCCCATCTGAAATCGCCCGTTTGTAAAAAAATGTGTAAGTAACGTTGTTTTTAAATATCGACTACGGGGCGTTTAGTTTCTTTCAGCGATTATATTTCGACGACCAATAACGATTGTATTTCGCAACATGCATCGCCGTGTACGTACTAAGCGTTATGAAAATTACTATATTACTACCTATCCGACACGGGCGTGCGTGTGTGTGTGTACGTGTCGTTGAGCACGTATAAAAAACGGTTACGCACGAAACGGTAACGTGACTCATAAATTGTTAACGTTTTTTTTTTTTTTTTTTTACCACCAGTAAACAATACGATCCGATATTTACCCATATACGGGCGGCAGGTTTGGAATAGTCGGTTAATAACCGCGCGAGACCCGAGCAAACGTATTATTAGACCCCGTCTAATCGATCGTATTTGCGTACGGTAAAAAAAAAAAAAAAAAACAAAAAACTCGAAAGTCGTATATTTCAGACCGATCACGGTAGAACGTCTCGTTCGTATCGCGCGCCGTTCGCGTTTCATCGTGACATTAGCAGTGTACGTCGCGGCGCGGTAGCCGGTAAAACGCACGCCATAATTGTACGCTAACGCCCACCCCGAGCACAGGTATCGAAACTTTGTTCGATTAAATCGCAAGTGTTCGCCGTAAACCCTTTGTAATCCAGCGTTAACGCGGCTCCGGCGTTGTTATAGGCTGGCAGTTATAGTTTTACGGATATCGCGTTACCGGTTTTAGAGTTAGTTATGCGCGCGCATCAATCGCGGCTGCGGCCGGTGCAATCAATAACGCCGCGTGCCAAGCGATTAACGAAACAATCCGCACCGAAACCAATAAATCGACACGCGGCAATAAACATTTACGACGGTACCGGAAGTTTGACGGCATAATGTCTGTTGGTGCGCGGCAAAAATCTCGGATATCCGATTACGGCGGCAGTACCGCCCGCCGGTCATCGCCGCGCGCCTTTGGCGTTGTTCGCCGGTGCGCGGCAAGTCGGTAAATAGTGCGATTTTCATCTTTTTAAAAAACAAAAAAAAAACAAAAAAAAAAATACAAAAACATTGTCATTGTGACCGCGGTACATTATTGAAACGACGCGATTCTAATCGACGGTGTATCGTCGTACGTCCGACAATGTGCGTTATTGCCGTGGCGTTAAAGGGACGAGTGAAAAAACGAAATATTTCATACCTCGGGGATCTCGTCCCGTGGCCGTTGTTGCGATTAGCGA